GAAGGGAAGGGAAGGGAAGGGAAGGGAAGGGAAGGGAAGGGAAGGGAAGTTACACCTAACTCACATAAAACACAAGTCAATTTTAGATACCCTAAAGATATAAAGATATAAACACAGGAAAGCTATAAAATTTCAAAAGGCAATGTAAGAATATCTTCATGATCTCAGGGTAGGGAAGAATATCTTAAAAAACTTACAAAAAGAGCAAATCATAAATTAAGAAATTGATTAAATCTAATTCATTGACATCAAAACATGCCATGAAGAGAATGAAAGACAAGTCACAAACAGTAAAAAAAATTTGCATCAAAAAACAAGGGATAAATACTAATCAAATATATTAAAAATCCTTACACAAACAAGCCAGTAAAAAAATTAGGCAAAAGATAGCAATAGGAATTTCACAAAGGAGAAAACAGGAATGCTCAAGAAACTGTGAAAAAAATTCTTCAATTCATTAGTAATAAGGAAAATGAAAATGAAAATCCATGAGAGACCATTTCACAGCCACCAGACTGGCAGTAGAAAGCAGGATGTGAACAACCATGAGAGCCGTCGCTCAATCCTGGTGGAATGTAAAGTGTGGGACAAACCACTTCACGCAACAAACTCCCACTATCTGTAAAGCTGAAGAATGCATCCTCTGAGGCATAGGCCCAGCCTAGACGCTGGAGCCTCAGGAACTCCTTCCCTGTGCACCACAGGCATGCATGAGATTGTTCCTAATAGCGCTTGTCACGACATCCCCAGACAGGAAAACCTCACTGTCCATCCACAGCAGCATGGATAAATAAGTTGTGATAGAGATTTACAGCAGAACACCTTAAAGAAGTGAAAAGGAAAGAATCCCAACTACACACATTAGCATGAATAACTCTAACTTTGAATTTAAAATTCTAATACCATAGAACACAGAGTATGAATCCATTCATAGAAAATTCACAAATAAGCAAAATTAAAGTTTGACATGTAGGAATGCATTTACGATAAGTCACCAGGGAACGATTATTCCGGAAGCCAGAACACTGGTCAGCCTGGAGCAGTGGAGGGAAAGGATGCAATTAGAGAAAGGCACAAAGGGGGTATTGATGACAATGGTCGTGTTCTAGTTTATAACCTTGGCAGCAGGTACATGTCATTCTTTGCTATTCCTCTTAAATGTGTACAACAGGGTCTATGCACCAGAAATGATAGTAGAAATGCTGAGCAAAAGAATCAAGTCATAAAAGAGTACATTCAGCATGATTCTATTATGTTGTTTAAATCAAAGTAAAACTAAATAAAATAGTGTTTAGGGATTCCAACACAGTGGGAAAGTTATAACGAAAAACGGAGTTATCAAGACCAGATTCCAATTACTGATTACTGATGACCTCTAGGGTGAAAGAAGAGAGATGTGAGAGGGAAGGGAAACACAGGGTATTCCAAGGTCCTAGTAGTAATGTCTCATCACTGGAGACAGGTAGCAAATACATGGGTTTTTATTTTATTATTGTCCATTACACAGTTTTATATGTCTTAATATATCATTCTGTAGCTATTTCACAATAAAAATTTGAAATAAATTTCAACATAAATAAATGACTACTTAATTGAAAAAACAGTTTTCTGTGGATGACCTCTTTGGACTAACACTAGGAATATTTTATCTGCATTTTAATGAGATACTCTAGAAAATATTAGGCCAAGCCTAGGCCATGTCAGGAGTGAGACAGCAGAAAGATTTGGGTGGCTTGGGAAAATATGCAAGCTCTGTTCTCCTTTTTCCTAAAGGTTCTAATATTAGCTCCTTTCCCAGAATCCTCAGGCACCTGGACTGCTAGATACTTAAGGCCCGGTCATGTATGCAATGGCCCTCTTGCCAACAGGCTTCCTGTACCACACTTTAACCAAAAGATGGGGTGAAGAGATGAGGGTTCCTAGCAGAATACCTCAGAAAGCTCTTGACCAAAGGCTGTGTGGATCAAAAAGTCATACCACTATCCTGGACAAGAAGGCATTTACTTAAGAAATTACCCCCTCTCAATTCTTCCCATGTGCATGTAGTACAGATTAAATGAGGAAGTTCTATGGTAATATAGAAATAATCAAAAACATACTTCTTGAGGGTTGACAACGAAGCTGTAGATATGTATCTAATACATAGCTGTTAGTCAAAAAAGCATGTTTTAAATAATCAATTGATATTCATTTAAAACACATTAATGGTCTTGTTAAAGCTAAATTTAATACATGCTGTATTTGGAAGTCATTTCTTTACCATCATATAGAAACCTTTCCAGCTGTCCTCTCTTGTTGCATGGCTGACACTCAGTGGCAAATTGGAAGAATCTGATGATAATTCCCTAAGGCTAGACATGTGTGTTTATTTTTAATTCAACATCAGTATCAACGCTCTCCCTACTATATCTCTAATTCTCCCAAGTACACGGGTAGAAATCAATTTATCTCAAAAATTCAAAGAGTAAGATAGGAACTGTCTAATTTGGAAGTGTAAAGAACAGAATTCTTAGCAAGAACACGTAAATAAGTTAATAGTTCTTGATTTCCCACAATTTCTCAGCAGTTACCATAAAAAACTTTCTTGTTTACCTTTTAAATTATTTACCTATAACACTTTCTACCTTTCAAGCGTCGTTTCCCTTGGAGAAGTATTTATTACTAGTAACATTAAAGTTGCTACTGGGGAGAGAAGACTTACCTGAGTTGGAGCAGAGGGAAAAAACTCCATCTTCATTTCCACTAAAAATTGAATATTTAATGCTATCTTGAATTGCGTCAGGAGCGAAAGCTTTTACAGTCACGATAGAAGTACCTGTAAAAGTGCAGTTAAAAGAAAAGAAATTTCAGGGAAAAACAAGAGCAAACACTGGGTATTTATTATTGGCCTACTCCATTTTCATGTGTTCATTCATTTAATGATCACTTATTGAGTGTCTTCAATAAGCCGATCCCATGCTAGCTGCTGGGGAGACAGTGACAAGCAAGATAGAAAAGATCTCTGTCCTCGTGATGGTTATTAACTGATGGGAGGATACAGACAATAAACCATCAAACAAATACATAATCGAGGTTGATTTCATATGTGCTAAGTTCCTTGGAAAGAAATAAACAAGGTTATACGATAGAAAACACTTCTGTTGTGGGGGAGGCAGACACTCCTTTAGAGACACCTCAGCGGTTGAGCATCAACCTAGGCTCCAGGAGGTCATGGCTCAATTCCCGGTCAGGGCACATGCCCCGGTTGTGGGCTCGATCAATGACTCTCATCACTGATGTTTCTATCTCTCTCTCTCTCCCTCTCCTTCCTTTCTCTGAAATCAATAAAGATATTTTTTTTAAAAAAGTTTTAAATACATCATTCTGAATGCTATGTGGAGAACAAAGAGGGGTAAGAATTGAGCACAGAGACCAATTAAGGTAATACTGGAATAGTCCAAGCAAGACAAAACCACCTAGGATTGTGGGAGAAGAGACGGAAAATACTGGAGAGGTTGAAGACACATTCTGACACACTTCCTTGAACATTAAGTGGAATATGGGAAAGGAGGTAACAGGTGTATAAATATTAGAAATCTTCCCTCAACCAGTTTCCAGTATAGTTGTAGGTAAAAGCAGCCCCACTAGAGGGTAACCAAGTTCTTAATTGCATATCAATTCATTCGAGAATTGTTAAGGTACTGCAGGAATAGTCAAGAGATAACTTGAAGGAAAAAAACAAAAAACAGAAATTGAGTTAGGTGTAGGAAATAGAGAGGAAAGAAGGAAGTCATTTCGGGTTATAAGGAACGGACCGATTACCAGCATGGAAAGAGAATCAGCAAGGACTGTTAACGGCAGTATGGTAACTAGTATGATTAGAACTGGGACTCCACTGAAGTGCTCCTGAGAATCCATTTGGGTCCCAAGTTAGCTTTGTTGTCTTCATTCGTAACGTCCTGTGCCCCTTGCTGCTCACCTCTGCTTTGCTTCCTGTCCTGGTTGCCCATTTGTCTCCCTCCTATGACTACCTGTCCTGTTTTCAAAAATGTATATATTTATTTTATTTTATTTTATTTATTTTATTTTATTTTTAAATATGTCTTTATTGATTTCAGAGAGAGGAAGGGAGAGGGAGAGAGAGATACACACATCAATGATGACAGTCATTGATCAGCTGCCTCCTGCACGCCCCCTACTGGGGATGGAGCCCGCACCGGGAATAGAACTGCGATCCCCTGAATCATAGGTTGATGCTCAACAGCTGAGCCAGGCTGGCCCGGCTATATATATATATTTTTAAATTTAATCTTCACCCGAGGGCATGTTTATTGATTTTCTTTTTAGAGAGAGGAAGGGAGAGAGGAAGAGACATCAATGTGAGAAACATCAATCGGTTGCCTCTCATACCCCAACCAGGGACTGAGTCCTCAACCCAGGGATGTGCCCTGACCAGGAATCGAACCTGTGACCTTTGGTGTATGGGACAATGACCCAACCAACTGAACCACACCGACCAGGGCTAAAAATATTTTTTATTTAATAAACTGTATTATGTTAAAATTTACATATAATATACACATATTTTTAAATATACAGTTCTACGAGATTTGACAACTATATAACACCTGTGTAACCACCTTCATGATCAAGATATAGAATATTTCTACCACTATAAAAAGTTCCCTCATGCTTTTTTATAGTCAGTTTCTCTCACTTCTGGCCCCAGGTAATTAGTGATCTGCATTCTATAACGTTAGATTAGTTTTGCCTATAAAATTTCATATACTTGTAAATAAACAGCGGCTGTCTCTTTTTGTTTAGCATACTTCTTTGAGAATCAAGCGTGCTGTTCTGTGCATCAAAAGTTTATGTCTTTGTACATAGTAAATGCTTAGTAAGGATGGGGAAAATGGAGGAATTAGAGAAGAAAGGGAGAAGAAGGGAGGGAGGGAGGTAGAACACTTTAGTTCTGGCCTGAGAGATCAGAAAATGCTTCTCTGCCTACAGGACCCTTCCAAACCAAGGGCAATTGTTATTAATATTTTTTAAATCACTCAATGCTGTAATACCATATCTGGTTATGGGAACTGCAGTGGTTAAAAAAAAATAGCACCTATTCAAGATCTCTGCTGGGCATCTTCATTGAACCTTACTTAAGCAGGCCCCTGGGAATGGGCTTGACACTCATCCTGCTGGAGGTCATGGTAAAAATGACCCCTAAACTAAGCCTAATAGCTATATCTTTTTTCTAGATACTTAAAGTGTTTCATTAAAAAGAAGAGAAGAAAAGCTGGAATGAACAATATTTTCCCCAGGAGTCTTTTCAACACTTACTACCCAAAGAAAAATGCGATGAGTGCACTAAATATTAAAAGAAACAAGTATGTGCTGCTGTCTGCAAAACTGAAAATTCAGTGAAAAGATGGAAACAGAACTCGCGACGGAGATGGAGGAAGAACAGGAGCGCCGAAGCTGCGTACACGTTCTCTTTAAAAACGTTACGCTTAACACAAGCTGGGACAAAGTTTGAAAATCATTTCTCAGGTTTCCAAATCATTGCTCTTTTCAAGGCAGTTATGAAATCATTCAGTGGCAAGGTAAAGGATTTTAATCAATCATGATGGAATCAAGTTACTACACATGTTGAGAACTCTTTCAAATGTCACTATAATCTGATGCTTATTTTGGTACATTTCAGGGGACCCATTGTGAATATAAAAACGTCTTACAGTTTTGGTAGGAATATGCCTTCACAGGAGGGCAATATGTTTTGTCTTCAGTGCTCAGTCACAGTTCTGTGCTTCCTGATACAATGTGTTTTTTAAACACAGGAAATTTTATTTCAAGTGGCTTGTCATCTATTCTTAAGAACGGCAGTCAGAAGAAAAACAGCTACGCAGGCAAGATGTACCATCCTGCTGACGGCTTGTTCTTCACGGGTGAGGATGCGTATTATATGCCCAATTACAAAAGAAAACATGGAGATCACTTACATGTAAAAGAACAAAGATGACTGTGGAGTTGCCAGTGAGAATCACACGTGGCCTCTCCCGTAAAGGGAACTATCCTAGTTTTATTGCAAATAAAATGTTCATAGTATCAATGAATGGTAGTACAAAAAGAATTTCATTCAACAAAAATACTTCAGACTAGATGCTCAAGTCAGCAAAGAGCTGCAAATATTTATATACTTTCTTCCTCTGACAAAGTTTAAATTTGAGACAGCCTGAAAAAAGAGGAAATAACTAAAGGGACTTGGATCTTTCTAGGTCTTGGCTACTATGCACATTTTTTTTAAAAATTCTTTTTTAAAATTTACTTTTATTGTTGACACTATTACAGATGTCCCCTCCCCCGGCACTCCCCCATCACTTTGCCCTACGATGCACGTTTTAAAAAGAAGCCTGTCTCGGGCACCAAGAGGAAACTTACAATTCTCATTTCACATCAAGGTAGAAATGATAAAATATAAAAAGTAATACCATACCTTCAGTTTCTATGAGGTAAGTAAAACACAAATTTATTATTATTATTTTTTTTATATTTTCAGGCATTTATGAATTTCACTTCATGTCTAACATTGCATCAAAAAGGATGATACACTGAATGTTCTTGGTTTTTTCTTCTTTACAAACACACAGTTTAAAAACTAACGTCACCTACAGCAACAGTAAACTATCCATTTAAAAGCAGAGTTCTCTATTAATGTTATATTATATAAAATATTATATGTCATATAAAAATCATATCATGGAAACATTTAGGTAAAATACAGTAATTATGAAAACATTTTATTATGAGTTTATTATGAGTTTTATTTTTGGGATTTCTAAGCAATTCAAGCCTTTTTTTTTAATTAATAATTTTTAAAAATTGATGATTAATTTGAGAGGAACAGTTTTTTCAAACATTTGGATGATTTTGAATGATTATGTCTTAAATGTCCAGTCACTGAAAAGTTAAACATATTTCAATCACTTAAGAAGAAAAGTTGGGAGTGACATTTAGCAAGATGGTTGAAGAGGAAGACCTAGGACTCACCCCCCATAGAGACATCTACTTAACAACAATGTATGATCCCTGCCGTGGCTTCATTCAGGCCCTGGCCATTTGTCATGTGCATCACCACAGTCCCCTCCTAACTCGTCTCTCTCCCCTTTGCCACCCTTCACAAGGCCTCCAAAATCATCTTCTACAATATAAAATTTGTTTTGTCACTCTTGCTATTTGAAAGGCCACTAATGTCTCTCCATTCCAGCTCGTCACTGGAAAGCTCATGCGAGCCTCTGTCCAGCTAGTCCAGATGGTTTGCTGCTCTGGATGGTAAACTCACCACTCTCTTGAGTCCCCACACCTCTGTGCCAGCCATTTCTCCTGCCTGGAACCAAGTATCTGTTCCCCCTTCTTTGTGCCTCGTTTTATTCTCACTTGGGCATATGGCTTTGGTTATCTTCAAAGTATAACGGTTGAATGGTGAAATGATTTCAACAAGCATTTGATGAACGCCTTGTAGGAGCAAGCTCTTTCTGGCTCTGCCATCCACAGCCAGGAGTTGCTCCCAGCTCCTTCTGGCTGCACAGTCATCCCCATGTCTTACACTTACAACTGTTGGTTAATCATGATGGCAAAATGCCTTAGAGATTATTAAGTGCTCATTTAATCATCAAAACTGTCTTCTTAAAGAACAGCTGAAAGAGATGTTCAAGGCCCTTCACAAGACAGACCATTTGTTTCTTATATCTTTAAAAAACTGAACACTGAACATACAGTATTAAGCATACAGTCAACATTAACAGGAAGCTTGACGGGGAAGGAGAGAGAAATGAAGGGCAT